ATGGTTGTAAAATAATTACAATTTATTGTTTTAGTTAGTAGGTCTTCTATTAGTGGAAATGGTTGTGACTGTGGTATAATTATTTTATTTAAATCTCGGAAATCTATGCACAGTCTACTTCTTTTTCCTTCATCTCTTTTAAAAGCTAAAGTAACTGGTGCGGCAAATGGACTGTAAGATTCCTCGATTAATCCGTGTTTTAATAGCTGCGAAATTTGATTTTCTATTTCGATCTTATCTTGAACTGAACATCTATATGGTCTTTTATAACAATACTTTTCAATTTGCAAATCTATACAGGCTTCATACATTTTTACTTTTCCAGTGTCATATTTGTTCCTTGCAAATATTTCAGAGTAATTCTCCAATAACATATTTATCTGTTTCCTTTGTTCATTGTTTAAGAATCTTGTATCTATATTGAATTGGTTTGTATCTATACCTTCATTGAAGTTTACTGCATACTCTTTTCCTTCTATATTTATTTCCATATTATTAGTTTGTCTATTTTCATCTTCATTGCTACTTATTTTAGAATTGTTTGTTTTGTGTATCTGGATATTTAAATTCTCATCATGAGTCAACCCAAATGTATATATTGAATCTAATCCTAGTATTAAATCATAATTAAAATGTTCGTTTTCAAAGATAAATGCATTTATTTTATTCTTTCTGTTTAATAATTCTGCATCCAGTGTAATTAAACCTTTAGTTTCTCCTCCTCCACTTATTGTTTTTATTGTTTTATAGCAGGTATTTGGTTTCGTATTTGCTATCTGAACTAATTTAGAATTAATTAATGTTATTCGTGAACCAGGATCATACAGCGCCTTGGCTTTTAATGTATTGTTTAACATTACTGTTATCTCAATTAGTGGAGGGAGATTTAGTTTTTTTGGTTTTCATTACTGAGTTCAACTTCCAGTATTGAATTAGAGTTAAAGGATTTTTTGTCAGTTGTTTTATTATCACGACTGTACCAGCAAACATTCTCGGGGTGAAACCTATTAAATTTTCCATTATTTTCACAAATCTTGCAGGACTTTTTTCCAGTTTGTTTTATTTCTTGTTTAATGTATGTATTTCCTGTGCTTTGGGTTTTCTTCGTATCATATTTTCTTGCAAAAGTTTCTAGTCCTCTTATACAGTTAAATAACTCATTTACTTCTTTAATGCTTTCTCTGTCTATTTTATCCATTATGAAGTTTGGTAGACCAGTGGCAATCAAGAAAATTAGAGTTTTTTTATCTATTGTACTGTTAGCTTCTAGTAATAGTCTCTCTTTTTTTAGAGCGTATTCTAACATTGATCCTTGTATGTATTTAAAATTAATAGCATATCGGATTGGTAACCATCCTTTATCGGCAAATGCTTCACATAAATTCTTCTTCCATACAGACCACTCCGAATCAATTGTATATTTTATAATCATGGAGGTGTACCAATCCATACACGTATCTTCTAATAGTAATCTTAGCATTTCTATCTTTCGTAAATCCGTATCTATTTGTAAGCGCGCACATTCACTTTCATAAGTATCTAACCATTGTTGAACATTTGTTGTATTTCTTGAAAACTTCTGTATTGAAAATTCTGCTAATAGTTTTGTTTTATTTCCTATTTTCTTCGACAATGACTCTGTCGATGACGACTCTTGACTTGGTTCTAATTTTTCAAGCAAATACCCATCAAATTGTATGTTGCCATCATCCAAGTATGTACTTTTCATATCTTTAGTTAATGTAATCCAAACCTGTCTCTTATCATGCCTTTTTTGGAGCGATTTCTTTATTTTGTCAAATATTTCATGTTTCATTATTTCTTTGTGTAACTGCACCGATTGATATTCTCGAGGCATAATATAAGTTTGGCCTTGTGTATCCGTGATGGTAGTTATGGCATAGATATTGGTTTTATTATCATCCGGCTTCGCTTTCACGATGAATTCAAATTGTAATTTCTCCATTACGTACGTATGTTTATAATACTTGTATTAATGTAGTTGTATTTATTTTCACACGTGACCAAAATTGTCGATTTATAAGATGAGGATTTGAGACAGCAATGAAATCATAGGATTCATCTATAACAATAGAGTTTTATTTAAATAAAATAACAATGTTTTAATAAAAAAATATAAAATATGAAACCTCGGAATACAAACCTATAACAATAGAGAATCGACAATTAATTGTCACTGCTTTAGCCCGTCGATCCTCACTTAAATTCTTTAAATTAAATAACTAAAATAACAATCCTATATTATCGAAATAAAATTAATTCTTTACAATATTTCAATTGACGTTCGTTTTATGACACGTGTGTCACCTTATCCAAAGACAATACAAAGCATGGAGGCTTTCATTGTTATTAGTGTTAAATAAATTAATTTCCTATTTATATGGAGCGAGTACACCTCACCTATACCTAACAGTATATCCAAAATTGCCGGCATTATTAGGTCAGAAAAAAATATAAGAAAATCTCCGAAATATATTTAAGGAATGGATATCAAATAGTAGATATTTTTTGCAGTTTACAAATTAAGTTAACGAAACCAGACATTGATATCTTCATTATGCTAATTTCCATCCGCCTCTATTCACCTCCCGCTGATTTGTTGACAGCCTCCATTGTTTTTCAAAAAGGGTATTAAAAAAACAACAAACCTTAGTTTATTTTAATAACAATGTAATAGTTGACTAAGGTTTTATGGGATCAATTCTAGAGGTATGAAACTTTTATAGGAGTTTTTGATGTTGGCGATTCTCAGAAATTGTACTTGTAAATATGCATTATCATGTCGAAACCACAAAGCCATGTTAACATAATATGATCACAGTCGAACATATTACAACACTGTTAAATGCTAAAAGTTGAATAAAGTGAAAAAATAATTTGAAAAATATAACATAACATAACGCCTTTTATTCCCGAAGGGGTAGGCAGAGGTGCACATTACAGCACTTAATGCCACTGTAGAATGTAACACCCACTTCTATTTATGTTATGAGTCCCATGTAATAGGGGGTGAGCCTATTGCCATACACCGGGCGCATTTCCAAACTTCGTGCTACTACTGAGATTTAAAAAAAAATCAGTAATACTTTGCCCAACCCGGGAATCGAACCCGAGACCTTTGAAAAATATAAATAACAATAATGTATTTAGAAAAAAATAAAAAATTTAATTATTAAGCGTTGTAATTAATTAAGGATTTTTTTAAATGATAATTTGTAAGTCAATTGTTTCATATATTTTAACTTTAGTTGTCTCTTTTTATAACAGGTTTTATAAATTTTATAATTATTTTGTATGTCATTTGTGGCAAAACATGTTGAGACGTTACAGTTTTCTCTTTACCATCTGCATTTGCATTGATATGTATTATATAATGTTACCCACACAAGTGTATACAAATAAATATATCTTTATTTTTATCTTAAAGCAAACAAAAGTTTAAGTCATAATCAATGAGTGAAACTTATTTTGACCCGAAGAATAGAATAGAATATAAGTTATGAATAAAGAGTGAACCTACCAGTATTAACAATCAAAGTATAACACGATGATATAAGTATATGGAATGTAATTAATAATTTTGTTAGGCAGGTTTGAAATCGAAGCCGGACAAACTGTTTACTGACTTTTTGATTCAGAAGTTCATAGTGACGGTATTTACCATCAGCCTATTTAATCTGATATAGTAATAATCAAAATAAGTTGTAGTTTGTGTTTAGTGATTGTAAGCCTAGATAATATTTAATACCTTTGTTTATGAATGCATTTCGATCGATTTGATTCTTTACATTTATTTATTTACAAATATGATAATATGGCATAGTTACTGTAAATTTTAATATATAATATAAACTCAAGAATTAATATGTACCAAGTTTGACAGAGTACAAGATATGGATAGGTATATTTGTACTTTTGGCTAATGGAAGCAATTTATGTATGTATCATTATGCTGTGTTATTACGTACTATAAAGTACTATCAGACTGCCCAAGTGCTCAATTTCGGACTTCTGTATACTCAGGTAGTAGTCAGGGATAATTATGAACAATGCATGTGGAAATTTAGTTTAAGGAAAATGTGTAGTGATCAATGATTTGATAAGGAATTTGGATAACCAGGAATATTTTATGACTTTAAAACAAGTTGTATTTATTGAAATAGTATATAGATAGTTCAGGTACTCGACAATTTTACACCAGTAGGTACCTAGTCGGCATAAACAAGTAAGACTGCACCTTGCAGTTACTTGAAACAAAGAAACAAATAAAAATACCAACACATCGATTCAATAAATAGTTTTAATTTCTTAACCTATTAACTTAAAACTAATTAAGGTATATTTACAATCATCGACTCTGCCGACAATAAAAGTGCGTAGTTTCGGTAATATCAGTAAACGGTAACATGTACCTATCGACCATTTTGTTTCACAAAGCGTTCCTAAAAGTATGATAATAACAGCCTATACCAAACAATTATTTCTATAACCATCGGCACAATTTAGAGGTATTTTATACAGTCAAACACTTGAACAAGTGCAATTATCATAAAATCATAACCCACCCGAACAAAACAAAAAAATCAGCACATCGATTCTATCTGTCAACAAGGCAGTACAGAAATCTTGATAAATTATCCCGCAATTAAAACTAAACCTTAACACCTAAATATTGAAGGCACTATTGATTTGACTAGATATACAAGAGTCTTTTCGTATGTAACGATCAATGCACTATTTATAAATAATGAACATCGTTTTCGGAGGGTTGGGTCCAGTTGTATCACTCAACGTTTCACCTGTGAACAAAAGAAAGCATACATTAGTTTCATTGTACAAAACACGTAACATTCCTGTACCTAACAGTATATTTTAATCGAAATTCTGGGATAAAAATAATTTGTTTTAAAAAACTGGAAACTTAATTAACAATAGAATTAGCATTTATTAAAATATGGATAAGTGAACTTACCTATTTGTTATTTTTGTTGCCACCATGAGATGACGTCTAGTAGCTCGTCCTCATCCATAGGACCGAGCTGTTGTTGTGTCGCCGTCGTGACCTCGTACCGATCAGCTGAGTATGCCGACGACACCCCTGATGAACATTCGGAGGGCGCAGGAGAGTCCGGCTTCTCTGAACAAGGTGATTCTCCGCCATAGAAGAATCCATCATCCATGTCCATTGTCGTCATAGACTGTAGTGTGTTTCCATTAGGAATATTTTCTCTATTTTCCTGGTCTCGGGTAATTCCTAAAGCTGCGTCACTTTCTTCAAGCAATTGTTGCAGATATCTAATGTATTCTACTACCATCCTCAGTGTGTCGACTTTGCTTAATTTCTTTCCCGATCCTCTCCGTGCACCACCAGACAATGCGGCAACAACAGACGCAGGCAAGTGTCGGCGTAGAGCATTAAATCCATCATTCACTTGCTTAACACGATTACGTTCGCGAGCGTTTCGTCTTGCGATCGATGCAGCCTGGGGTCCAGTGTAAGGGTTTGTTCTGAAGTGCACCTTCTTCCTGTATTGTAAATTTGGTGGAGTATCATGTGTGACGTAATTTTTTTCAGGAGCTGGAGCAATTGGCACATTCCTCTTGTCTACTGGTGTCTTCGTTAACGTAGCTGAAGGATATCCAGACGCGACGACTACGTAGTTCGTCTGACCTTGAACGAGTTGAATTTCTTGTAGCATTTTACGTGCGTGCGGCGCGGGCGTTCACGAAAGATAAGGAACACGACCGGTCGGCGCGGCTATCGGAAAAGCACTGCGCGATAGGGGAAGGCTTCGTGGGAGCTTTCGGTTAGAGGCGAGCGCGAGCGGCGGCAGCGGAGCTTCACGTACAAGTGAGTCGCCGGCGCACGCGCACGCGTTATATCACCTGCGCCGGCTGCAAAAAATATAAATTTTAAAATTCTCTTCCCCTATTATTTTCGATCATCCCTTCCCCTTGTACGTGCGGGTCCGTACCTGGCGTGGTGGTTGGGGAGTGCGAGGTGCGGCGCGGCGGGGGAGGGTGGCTAACGCGTGCCCAGTTTTTTTCTGTTGACCACTGAATGCTGTAACATAAAATACAACTTGGACAAACTTTCCAAATAATGGCTTGTGACAGGACATTTTCAGATCGCTGTAATGAATCAGGAATGTTTGGGTTCTTAAAATATCTTCCTTTATGTCTTATACAGATAAAACATATAATCAAGATTAACAGGTTAATTTAAGTGCGTATAAATATCTGCGGAATTACCGTTAATGCGCTGCCACTAAAAGGGATGAAGAGATATTGTCACATAATCAGCGTATCGATGTCTTTATATTTAAAATAAATCAATCGTCTTAAGAATCCACATCAGTATTATCAGTTTCAATCTCATTGAGTGTTTGAGTTTAAAGGTATTTCTTATAAAGGCAAGTCGTATTCGAACCTGCTGGATAAAAGTCGCATCAGTGTTTATCGGTACATTATCGATAAAATACATTGACATTTACGTTAATGAAACCAATTCTGGAAATTGGGGAATTGAGTGGTTATGTCGTAAATGACATTACTACTATTATATGCCCCTTACATATGTATACACGTGCATACTCTGATAACTACGCCGGCTTAATTAAAAATGTTTACTTTGTTAATTAGTCGATCTCTATGGAGAGACTGTTTTAATTTTAAGTGACCGTCAGTTAATAAGATAGGACGGATCATGTCGATAAAAGTTATGGCACTTGTAAAGTTTATTGAACTTTATTTCAGTTTAATAAATTCACGGTTTAAAACTTCAAATGAAGTATAAGGCTATAAATATTTATTCCTCTTATTTCTTTTTATGTAAATATGAGTGGGAAAAGAAAGCTATGAAGTAGAAGTAGGTATGTGTGTACCTAGTTTTAAATTGTAATACGTAAATTCTTACAAAATATTCAAATGATATTTGTAACCGATAAGGACAGTACTAGAGGCAGTAATAGTCTCCCAGGTCCTACAAATAACACATATTTTTATAAATACCTTTAATCGATATTTCTTCTAATTTATGTCTATTAGACGTGTCTAGCATTGTTGAAATACGTTTCACTTAATTTTGAATTCTTCGAAAGCTAATGGAACATCGTTATTTTTTCTTTGTATTAAAATATGCCAATACCGTTCGTGTGAGGATAGCCGCCGTGGTGACAGTCGCCGGCGTCTTCACCAGCCCATCATCAATTAGATTTAAAACATGCTATGAATTGCACTTCTTAAACTTTGTTTTATTTTTATTACGTCGGCCCTTTGATCAAAGCCACCGGGTACCGTCAATACGATTGCGTGAATCGAATTTCTCTCATTCTATTTAGCTTTACTAATTGAATCGATATGCTTGTTTCGATGTTAGGTATTTGTTTTCATTAGTTACATACTCTGCTCTGTATTAGCGGTTAATAGGTCCTGTCCAAGTTTTTATTGGACCGTTTTCTAAGTTTCGCTCGTTAAATGCGTTTGGTTTATGATATTTAATGTTGGGTCATTTAACAGATTCAAATTCTAAAATTGTAAGGTGGTTGTATGTACATTACCTTTGATTGGTCGAGCGATACATTTTTTTTTAAATATTGTCATAAACATAGCTTACATAGACTGCCTCGTTGACCGAGTGGTCGCAAGTGCGACTGCCGGGCAAGGTCTCGGGTTCGATTCCCGGGGCAAGTATTACTGGGTTTAAAAAAATTCTCAGTAGTAGCACGGAGTCTAGAATCGTGCCCGGTATATAGAAATAAGCTCACCTCATTTTACATGGGACTAATAACATATAAATACTGAAAAGTGGGTGTTACATTGTACAGTGGCATAATGTGCACCTCTGCCTACCCCTTTGGGAATAAAAGGCGTGATGTTATGTTATTTATGTACGTTACATAGCTTACATTTTTTGAACTTGTCCTAGTACCTTTATCTTATATTAGATTTAAATTGGGTTCTTAATAAACCACAGGCTAGTCATCTCACGGGGTTGGGCCCCGTGATTTTGTACCGGATATGACCTGCGGGAAGGTGCTAATGGGTTCCGTAAATAACCGATATTTTTTCCTGTTATGATTATTACAAATCGATCGATGTTCCGTTAGGGTTACGATAGCTGTTAGGGGTAAATGAAAGACAATGGAATTAATTGGTATCCCCAGCTGAGCTGAAGTACAAAAGTTGTAAATTCTAACATTTTACGCGTACAATATGAGTATAATGTTAGATGACAATACTTAGGAAATTCTAAATCTTTAATATATGATTTGCCTTAAAAGCATTTTGCGTAGTAATCAGCGCGTTTAAATTGAAGCAACCATATCAACCTTTAAAAAATACTATCTATGACATTCGTTTTTACAAAAACGCTGATTCACCAACTCAGCCGTGTAACATCTCAATACTAATTTTATATCTTACAAGAACAACTTAGGTATAAACTAAAAAGAACATTGAACCAACAAAAGAAGAATATGGTTATTAGCGTTCAATGATGTCGTTAAGTTATTCACAATAAGCTTAAGTAACAAGTTACATGTCTAGTAAGAATGTGGTTATAATTCAAGTCATTGTGTCGATACTAAGGGTGGGTACCCCATGCTCCTACGCTCACATCTCACCACCCACGGAACTCGTTTTGAATTAAGAGCTAAGGAATATTAAAATTATTATTGTCCAACGCTTTTGTACGTTGATACAGTTTATATTTACGACCTTGTTTCAATGTTGTTGATGTGATATTATCTTGCGTCTATGTGAAAATTAAATGTTTTACGTAAATGCGTAAGAGAATAAATATTGCGTATATATAGAGTAGTCGTCTGAAACTAAATTTTTCAAGCTTGTTTAATACCGTTTGAAATAACTATGAGTTTAAGTTAGATTTTTTATCATATCAACAGCCTAGAAGTGGTCACTGCTGACCAAAGGCCTTTGGTCAGCCTCTCTTCTCCCACGGAGAAGGTTTGAGCATCACCACGCTTGCTCAATGCAGGTTGGCGATTTCAAACTTATAATTAGAAATTATACGCCTAGGTTTCTTCACGATGTTTTCCTTCACTGTTTGTCAACTCGGAAAAAGTCACATTAGTAGGTACATGCCGTTAGTAGCTTTCGAACCTGCGCCCTCATGCATTAGGATTAGAAGAAGAGGGGTCTTTTGTATTTTGCATAATTTTATCTTACTTAAAAATAGAGTAGGTATTTATATAATACTTTAGTCCATGTATAAGGCTTTTGTCCATATAAAAGTTGTATTCAGGTTTAAACGAAGTCTAAAGTGAGCTTAAGTTCCTGTTAAACAAGTGCCCCTTTTTTAATACTACACCACCTATTTGTAAACATTACACAATACGTAGTTACAACACATGTGCTACTATTCATATAACCCCTTGAAATTGATGTGACATGACGACCCTCTATAAAAATGTCATAACAGTATCAATTTATTTTACCCCTCAAATACTCATATCAATTAAGATTGAACAAATTGTTACAATTTTATTATTGACAGTTACGATGTAAGTATATTGTCAAAATAGATTACAGATTTTTTATTGTAAAACTAGCTTTTACCCGCGGTTTAGCCCGCGTATTTCGGTTTTATACCATGGAGAATTTAATCGGAATAAAAATTATCCTGTCACCTGTATACCAAGTTTCATCAAATCCGTTCAGTAGTTTCATCGTGATTGACGCAAACATCCAAACAAATAAATATTTACATTTATAATATTAGTGTGATGCAGAATAGTATAACAGAATGTACATGTCTTATTTTACCTTGTTGATAGCATATTTTTCAAATCTAGCGTCGATTGTGAATTGTTACTTTTAAGGACGTTAGATTCTCCAGGCCACGCGACATAGTATTCTTAAAAAAATAAAATAGAACTCAGTAGCGCTATAAATCTCTTTGCATACCCTGCTTAGGAATAACAGTCGTAATGCTTAACATTTGATTACACATTTATACCTCTATTTATTTTAATAGATTTTTCTATCAATTCAACACCGGAAATTAAGTGACATTTACGAGTTATTTGAACAATTATGTCAGCAAATAAAACAATTAGGTGAAAACAAATGACGTGAGATGCGGAACATCGTGGGATATGAGGGTGGAAGTGGTTGTGATGTGATAATTATGGGAAGCGCATCATCTGCTATAGATGGAGTTACGCACCACTGATGTGGGATTGACAGTATGGAGTAATGGGTGGACACGCAGGACTTGTAAATAAACATAGAAATTGTTCTTCATCTATTGTTTTTTATCGAGTGTAATGTATAGATTTTAAGCTATTTATAGCATTATCCTATCTGCACTTAGACTTAGTTGCTTTTTTTAATGGGACAAGCCCTCCACATCCTCCCAAAACCGCTGCAACTCATGTACCTAAGCCAGGATCTACAGTAGATACAACCATGAAAACATCGGAGCACTGAAGTCCGGCGCGTCTCAGGGACATGAGTAACTGTCTTGGTTCCCGCAACGAAGTGAATCTGATGATATTATAAGAGGAGAAGAAAAAAAAAACGATAGTTTCCACTAAAATATCATGCTAACCAACTTTCGACTATCATACGCCTGTCGATTCGCAAACATGCCTGAAATGAGCATGCTAATTTTGAGCAACCTTACGACACACATGCTACTAAGTGACAAGTGATCAATTGAAGCAACCTTTGGAGA